GTTGATTCATATATACACAGGACTTAATGATCTGATGATGCCTAGCTTGCGTCCGGAACTTGCAGAGTGCCAGATCTCCAAAAAGCCGGGGTCAATATTGGCCTGGGCACTGATGGCGCCCCGTGTAACAACACATGTGATCTCTTGCAGGAGATGAAACTCGCCGCCATTATCCACAAAGGTATCTCGCAGGATCCCACGGCAGTTCCAGCCGAAAGCGTGCTGGAGATGGCTACAATCAATGGGGCCAAAGCGCTAGGCTTGGATAACCAGATCGGCAGCCTGGAAATTGGCAAGAAGGCTGACTTTGCGGCTATCGATGTTCGAGGGATCCACACCCAGCCTTGGTTTAATCCGGTCAGCGCAGTTGTTTATACTACAACTGGGCGAGATGTCGATGTTGTTGTGGTCGACGGGAAGGTTGTTGTCAAGAATGGAGAGCTCATGACGATGGACGAGGAGGAAATTGTGCAGGAAGCACAAAGAAGAAGCAAAGAAGTAGTGGAAAGAGCTGGGTTGGGCAAAAGGTTCAGGGCCGCTGGCCAGTGGAGTGATCAAACGAAGAGTCACAATTCATGATTTGTTCATTCCATTCTATAATCTAGCAAGTCCGTTCATGCGGAACGTGCCTATGTACAGCTCTATGATTCGGGTCATGCCACATTCCATTGCCATTTCAGTCATTAAAATGTGCATTCTTCACAATAGATCACGCAATGCTTCGCCCAAAGCCATAATGGCCATGGCCTGGCCATATGGCATCGAGGTCAACGGAATCTCCTTGTAAAAGTCAAGACAGTCGCCCATCCCCGTACCAAAGCTCGTATTCTGCAACTCTCCTTTCTCATCCACGTATTCCATAACCGCAGCGATTGCCTTTTCAGCAACAGGGCGGTACTGGGCACCGATGTAACGTTTCCTAACGGCCTTGAGAATACCGTAGGCAAATCCAGCGGTCGCAGATGCTTCCAAATACGAGTCGGGGTGATCAAGGAGAGTGTGCCACGCGCCGGATGACGACTGAAGACGCTGAAGGGCCTCGCACTGCGCCTCAAGAGTATCGATCAGGTGAAGACGAATAGGGTCATTTGGCTGGAGGTCAAGCAACTCGATGATCTCGGGAATGACAATTGTGACCCAGCTGTTGCCACGAGCCCAGCGTGCATCTGCAAAGTTGTGTCCGCCATCCTCAAATGTCCAGCCGTGGAACCACAGACCAGACTTTGTGTCGAAAAGATATTTGATGTGTGTAAGGAATTGTTTTTTCGCCTCTTCGATATATTGGGGTCGGTTCAGAAGCTTTCCGATCTTCGCCAGTGGCATGACAGTCATCATCAAAGTATCATCCCAGAGTTGCTGGTAGTTCTCTGTGATATAAGTCATATGCTGCATGCCACCGCAGCGGGTGCGGGGGAGTTCGTGCATCGCCCATTCAGCCCATGCGTCGAGCCACGGTAGGTAGATGACATTTCCGGTCTTCTCATAAACGTAGGCGAGAGTCAAAAAGACGGCCATGGTGTTGATATTCTTGGTGGTGCCACCTTCAGCAAATCGTGCAGCAAACCAATCCTCAATGATCTGTAACAATCTCTCGTCGCCCGTTAACTCGTAGTACTTCCACACGCCGTATAGTCCAATGCCGTGAGTCCATTCCCAGCCCTGCCATGACTTGGTATCAATAATGCGCCCATCAGGCAGTGGTAGCAAGAATTTTCCTGTCTCGTCTTTGATGTTGACCAAATTGTCAATTAACAGGTTGACGGCGCTGTGAATTTCGGGGCCCGTGGGCTTTGGGGACGACATTGTATGATGCTGATAGACTGGATGTTGTGTTTTTAGGACGAATAATATTTTCCACGATTTTTTTTTTCCGGGGAAACAAAAGAATATGTTGTGCCAACACGGTCTGAAGCTCCAAAGTCTTGGTACAAGTTCTTCCACTAATAAGCTCCCGAGTCAGACGCCACGAAGCATCCCCGCGGGGGGGCAAATCGGTATTCGGGTGAGAGATCACCGAGTTGCAAAACACCGAAATAATTTTGAAAGTGGATTTATTAAGATCGACCGCAATTAGCGAGGTACTTTTCGGCCACCGGGGTAGCAGATCCCCGGACTCCCCAGCGTGGGGAGACACTAGCGCTGCTGTCTCCTCCTTTGCCAAGAAAACCGGGGGAAAGAAAGGAGACGGAGGTGACTTCTTGACTTCGTTTAACTCGATTTGGCTTGATTTGACTTCCGGTTAATAATATAGACTATGTTATTGGAAACCTACATGACTCTGTCAGCCGGCTCATAATCTCACATGTGGTTAGGGCCACTCCTATTTGGGATCATGCACGGCCCTGACAGGACAAACGTGGGGCATTATAAGTCCGGGGGAATATCTCGCTTTCTTGTCACCTGTGTCCCCTGGTGAACTGCATTCTTGCACCTACTGTTTTCATTTTGCCATGGCCGATGAAAAAGACCACCCCCAGCAGGGGATTGAGACCGCCCCTGTTGAGGGAATCGAGGTAGTGCAAAAGGGCCAACCGAAAATTGACATGGGGGAGTACGAGAATAAGCAAGACATCTCGCATGTCGAAAAGATTCTTTCAGGATCTGATGACCTCGCTAAGGATAACATGGATATCACCCGTGTGGATAAGGAGATCCAAGCATATGCCGCCCACAGTCAGGTGGAAATCGATGAAGCCACCAACAAGCGGCTGAAAGGCCTGATTGATCGACGTATTCTTGTTGTGATGATTTGCACATATTTCCTACAGGCCTTGGACAAGGGAACTATGTCGTTCTCAGCTATTATGGGGATCAAGGATGATGCGCATCTGAATGACGGACAAAAGGTATGCAATTCTTGTTAAGCTTTCTTCTTCATCAACATGCTAAACTTAATCATATCCATAGTACTCCTGGTTGACTACGTGTATTTATATCGCTGTCCTCATTGTCGAATATCCCACCAACTGGATCATCCAAAGAGTTCCACTCGGCAAATACTTGGGCATCAACATCGTCCTATGGGGTATGATTCTGGCACTCCATGCAGCCTGTAAGAACTTCACTGGATTAGTCGTTGTTCGTACCCTCCTGGGTATCTTTGAGGCATGCTGTCAGCCCATTTTCGTGACTCTTTCCTCAATGTGGTACAAGCGAGAGGAACAAGCGGCCACAGTGACATACTGGTATGTGGATACTCATCTGACAGCTAGTTCACGTTGATCTAATGGCGAAATAGGTACATGATGAACGGTGCCCAGCAGATTGTCGGTGGCCTATTGGCCTATTGTTTCACCCTTATTGGAGGAGACAAGGTGCTCAAGTCTTGGCAAGCACTCTTCCTGACATACGGATGTATCTCCGTTCTCTGGGGAGTCTTCGTCATTTGGTATATGCCTGACTCCCCTATGCGTGCAAAGTGTTTCACCGAGGAAGACAAACGTCTTATGGTAGAGCGCCTGCGTTCCAACCAGACAGGTATTCAGAACAGAAAGTTCCATGCATACCAAATGTGGGAGGCTTTCCTCGACCCGCAGATGTGGTGTTATTGCGCTGTTCAAATGTTCACCACTCTCCCTACCAGCGGTCTCGGCGCATTCTTCGGTATCATTGTCTCGGGCTTCGACTTTACTATATTGCAAACTCAGCTGCTTGCTATGGTGCTGGGTGCTTACATTATCGTTGTTCTGTTGTCGTCTGCGTGGCTGGTGAATAAGTTCAAACAGAACACGATCGTGATGTTGTGCTTCATCATTCCGTACGTATCTCTCCTTACTCAATTTTCAGCGAGGTCAGACTAACAGTTCGCAGGTCTTTCATCGGAACTATTGTCCTTATGACGGTGGAAAACACCACTTTGCCCACTAAGGTTGGCCTTCTTATTAGTTACTACATCACTCTGTCATTCTGGTCGGCCCAAACTCTCACCTTATCTATGGTGTCGCGAAATATTGCTGGTCAAACCAAGAAGTCCACCGTGGTGGCTGCAACTTTCGTGTCATGGGCTGCTGGTAACGCAATTGGTAAGTACCTTGCATTCTTCATAAAGAATCCTTGTTCCCAGCTAACAAATCAAAGGTCCTCAAGTGTTCCTTGACACGGATTCCCCACGATACCACATTGCCTGGAGTGTTCATCTGGCTTGCTATGCCTGTATGGTTTTCGCCGTTGTCTACCTCCGCTTCCATCTTAAGCGCGAGAACGCCAAGAAGGATAAGCTGTTGGCTGAGTCAGGTCTCAGTGCCGCTGATCCAACCCTGATTCATGCATTCGAGGACAAGACGGACCGGGAGAACATGAACTTCCGCTATGTCTACTAGATACGCAAGGTAGTTGCGTTGGCATTGTCCTTGTTGGTTTATTTGTTACGCTCTCTTCGATTCTATCCTCCAATGTTTTATTCTTCTCAAAATTACAAACACAATATGAGGATCTGTGAGATTGACGCCGAAAATGACCGCTGGTCACAAACAGCTGCCTTTCCATCTGTAACTTTGGAACCACCCGGTGCCCTATAACACCACTATTCTGCACCCGCCTAGTACTTTTACCTCGATGAATCTGTAGGTTCAATTGTTTTCTATATTTCGTCTAGTTTGACTTCTTGCCACAATCGCTCCGGTTGTTGGGCGCTTGGCACGGCTACAACATAACTATACAACAGCCTACCCTATAAAGATTCACCCACCCCTAAACTAGCGGCCAAGAGATCTACCTATTGTATTGAACATATATAGCTATGATTTTGAATTCTTCCTTCTTTAACTACCTACCCTCTCTACGATACATTATAGTACAATTCACTTCAGATTCAATTCAGATTCAATTCAACATGATATTTGTGAAGTGAGAGTGGATCTAAATTACTGCCTGGCAATATGAACCGATGAGAGTTATATGTGTCGGATGGCATATTTAATCGCCTGTACTTGACTTCGCGACTTCCATACTTGCACCTTTCATGTTCAACAAAGCACCCCCCCCCTTTTCTTTTGCACATCATGTCTTCACCACTCGATTCCACGCCAGCCAATAGCGTAATTACCCAACAGTCATGCCACAGTGATGAATACGCCCTTGACAAAGAAATCTCCCTTTACAAAATTAAATCTGCCGACGAGGCATTGGCGATGATCCACGGCAGTGGAATCTTCAACCAGTCTGTCTACGGAGTCCATCTCCGCAGACCCCGCGCCTCTCGAAGCCCAGTCTAACGCCTCGCCTAGCACCTTACAGCCAAAGCAGCGGCAGGTGTTCGATATGATTGTCGAGCATTTCCGCGAGTCCCTTTTGGCAAGACCAGATCCCCTACTGCTGAACATCGACGGTAAGGCAGGGACTGGAAAGTCCCACCTAATCATGCTCCTATCCGCCACACTCACTCGGATAGCTAGAGAGGCTGGTCGTTTGTTGTCCTTACCTCGGTGGATTATGACATTGCAATTGATCTTTTAAAACTTATCGACGCAAAATACCCCCGTATTCGGAAAGGATTGTTCTCCCAGAGGAAAGTTCTAACACTGAAAATTCCAAATTATACCCACGAAGCCCCGCATGTGTGGTTTGTCCAACAGCTGACCCGTTGGCACATTAACGGTCAACTTACTCCTGATGAACACCTCAACGTTATGGTAACACCAAGCCCGCGAGTCACTACCACCAACCCTCCATACACCGGTGATCAAAAAGAACCTGATACCTTCATCTCTTACTTCGGAAGTCCCAGCTTACATGAACCAAGGATTGTTATTGAGGTTGGCTTCCGTCAGACATATTTAAGCCTCGTTGAAGATGCGAAACTTTGGTTGGAAGGAGTGGGGGCGTGTGTGCGTAAGATATTGCAAGATTACGACATGAACTTCAAGGAGTAAGTTTTTCAATCTTCTCTCACTTTAGTTTCACTTTCACTTCAGGAATATCTTACTAACGGTTCAATTCACAGGCGTTGGATCGACTTGAAAAATAGTTTATCTCTATATCCCTACGTAGCGGGGGCCCCCGGCCTACTGCCATTTGAGATATAGCGAGTCTCCTTGAGAAGCGTCACTGCTAGGTCTAGTTGTAGATAGTTCTCCTCCTCTCCTTACGCAATACAGAGGTTTCCAGTATACCACTATTCCTTTATAGTCCTACTGCTCATCTCCATCAGCTGAATATCTATTAAGCTCGCCCAAGTGAATAGAACTTGGCTTAAGTTTGTTGATTAGAATCAACAGTAGAAATGTGCAGCTCATGGCAACACAATTTCTTTCGTTGCCTCACTGTCGGTCGTGGTCTCTATATTAGCGCTTAATTCGTAACTAGTGAGATATTATTACCGTTGCCGTGGACTCTGGAGGTATCTCGCATCCATGATCTTCCCCTCTGTTCCCTTCTCTTTTTTTTTTTTTTTTTAATCTCTCTTTGACACCAAGAGATATTAGATAAAAAGGAAAACTTCGAATGCATATCGGAGTAACAGGTATTGAATAACAATATCTTATTAACTTCTTTGAACGGCGCATTTCCCAAACGGAGCTAAGGGCGCCTACCGACACTCCAGATAGGCCAGGGTGTCGGGTTTGTCTAATAACTCCATACCCCTGGCCCTTCATTAATTTTCGTGATTCCCTTCTTTTAGATGGATTGAAATTTTAGGCTATTGTGGCACAGACTCAGCGCGACCTCTGCTGGTGGCGTTGTGACTTCCTACAGAATTACCCCGTGGCTTGCCCTTCTCCGTGCAGAATGATTATTCCAGTTCTGCTAATTTCACGTGTAATGTTGTAATTACAACTCTCAATCCGAGGCAGTTTAGGAGTGTCAATCGGGAAAGCGCAACACATGGATACTCCTCTTGATCACTATAAATATGGCCGTTGCGTAGTTCAACTACGAAGGGCAAACACAGGCAAAGTCTGACTTTTAATACTTACCTCACACTCAACATTTCTACTTCTTTGAGATTCAAGTTTATTCAATTTGTTTCTTCGAATACAACCACAATGCATAGCCTTCTCGGCCCCGCTCTGTTTGCGCCTCTTGTTGCGGCCTGGCGAGTTACAAACTAGGCCAAAAAGACCACTATATCTAGTCTGATCGCATTAACTAAATAAATTAATATATGCTAAGCAAGCGGCAGCAGGCCGTTCAAACGGCTCATTCTTGGGTGACGTCTCTGACCATGATCTCAGTATGTTGCATTTGCTAGGTTGTCCGCGAAATTTCCCTCGTTGAAAGGAACATTCCCTGATCCGAAGTCGGTTGTATCCAAGGCATTTTGCTGGACAGCTAAACGTTCCAGGTTAGTTTCCTAGCTCCCAGACCTTGGGAATATATCTGGTCAACTTACTTGACATTGACTCCCAGGCAACCAACGGCTGTGTGCCGCCAACAGTAGTTGTTAAGCCGCAAGAATGATTCACAGGCCAGATGGACTCATACTTGATCAGAGATGAGGTGCCATCAAGTGTGAAGCCATCTGTACTGCAATCCCAGCCACCATGTGCCGACGGACACACGGCCTCGATGTTCGAGGCATCGGTACCTGTGGCGTCGGAAAGCCAGATAATAACTCCCTCCCAATCGTGGCGATGGCCGAGTTTAGTAGAAGGCTCATCCTTAGGGAAATACCAAGAATACATCAAGGCATTCTTGCCACCCGAAGTACCGCTTCTCACTGTAGATTGAAAAGGAACGCCGTTAGTCAATACGTTCCGGTCTATTGAATGCCTAACTTCTGAAGAAACCGACCGTATATTTGTCCCGTGCTTGAACTGCATTCACCATTGGTACGTCCTGTTGGTTTGAGACCGGCACTGCAACACAGGTATTAGATATGAGAGTCCGGAAAATCCTTAACAAAGACAGTCCTCCCACTCACTTCGTGTTCCCGTCGGCATCTATGCCTGGGAAAGGCACACAGCCATTGACAACCTTTAGCTTGGGCTGGTAGGTCAAATAGCGGTCGCCAGCGGCACCGGCTGGAACCGTTTCGGGAAGTCCGACAATGTCGGTGGATCCAACTGTTTCTCGACGCAACAGCTCAACCGGGTTAGCCGTCACAGGCAGCACCGTGAGAGCAGTCAGCGCAGCAATCAGTTGAGGAATCATGCTGGAATGGAAAGCGGGTGTACGTTTTGTGGTGACCTTACTCTATTAACAAACGGGATTTCTTCGGGATATTTATATTGTAGATGTACGGAGCACAACATACGGAGTAGTCTTCATCAGAACCGATCGGCAAGGCTACCTTGGCTACCTTGGGCCTATTGTCGTTAGACCCGCTTCCTTCGGCGAGTTGAAGTCTGATGGAAACGGTCTTCAGCCCCGATGAAGTATAGTGGATGATAGCAGAGTTTGATGTGGAACTCCGGCGATAGATTAGATTGCTTTTTACGCGTGCGATCGTCACCCCCGCTGATTCGCCGTTTCATTGTGTTTCTCCGATGCGAAATGAGTTCCTTCTAAGATGAGGGATTTTCTCTGCTTGTCAAGTTCGTTATCTATCCTCAATTGAAGCTAGTCTAGGTCTTAATATACAGTAGTGGCTCTTATATGCACCCTTCGCAAGGATTCTAATACATTCACTCATGCAACATAGCATAACTAAATAGAACACGTGGTACCCAGGTGCATAGGGGTCAATGATCCCTGAATGCCTGGTCTCTGCCATATTCTGGCCTGGCAGAAAAAGAAATACATGAATTACAATAACAGGTGCCTTACTAAGCAAAGTATCTAACCTTGGAAATTGCAATAAAATGAAGCTATTCCCACTATACAAAACATCATAGACCCCCGGACCTGGCGGCGAATTTATTTTTATTTGATAATACTCTCTTCGCAATTCTTATGTTTGGGGATTATATGGTGTAAAAAGCTTCATTTGAACATATCCATCGGGCCTTGTTATTCCGGTCCGAAGCTATTACAATACACTGTAAATCGATGCCTGGAAGCGGTCTATATTCAGGCATCATTGACCCCTATACACCGGTGTAATCAGGAACATGATCTGCACTTCCTTCGCATTGACGTTTTCTACACCAATCAGGGTAGACAAGTCAACAAATTGCCCAGCTTCTCCAAAACAACCTCCTGTACGTCAGCGGAGGCGTCCCTCTTCGAGTCTGGATCCCCAACTGAGACACTTGCATAGCATCCGGACGCTAGCGATACTTCCAATTCACTTGGTAATCTCGACTCATCACCACACGTGGTCACATCATCGTCACTAACCAATGGAACTGGGGTATGGATGCGGGAAAAGACGAAAGAGAAATCAGCCGGACTTGCGCATTCCTCGGAAACCTTTCCAAAGTTGACGTTCAGCCAAGCACCCTCTGGTAGGTATGGTTTGCCAGCAGCAACCACCTGGTTTGTCAAGTTGGTTGCCAAATCCGCATAGACCTCACTGTAGTGTGGCCGCGAGCTCTCCCATGAAGTAGCGGAGCCACTAGCACCGGAGAAGGCGATGGCAGGGATACCATTCTTCGCAGCGTATGTGGCGGCGCCCACTGTTCCAGAAACGAAAACTGTGAGGCCAATGTTGCTGCCGACATTGGGACCTGCCACGGCCAAATCTGGGGCGCCGTCGAAGAACTTCGGGCCGCTCGTCTCAATGCCGTATTGAATGGCCGTCACTGGGTAGCTATTGACATAACCTAGTCGGGGCTGTTTATACCATCAGTCTGTCGTTCTGGTAACATCTGTTCACAATACGTACCTCTGAGGTATCAGATCCCACGGCCGGGCTGCCAGATGGGCAGCTATTGAACTGGCATGGCTCATCCAAGACAGTAGGCTCTTCTTCCTTGGATCCTGGAGTCACGCGCATCAATAAAAGAGCGGAATGGAGAGGGGAAGGCACAACATACCCTTTCCACTCTGGTTCTCGGCGGGCGCAGACACCACAACTGAATGATCTGACGCTCCTAGAGTATCGAATAGAGCGCGGATGTTTGCTTCCGCCCAGCCATCATCGTTGGAGGAGATGATGTTGACCGCACTGGCGGCCAGAGGGAAGATCGCAAGAATGTCGAACCGCATGTTCAAAGAGTTCAGGAGCGTTGATGAAGGGTAGAATCGGGAGTTGCTTGGATCTTTTTATATCTTCAGATCTACTCTTTCTACATGCACGTGTTTGGTGATCTCCCTGTGAAAGGTGGGCTGTAAACCTCGGAGGGACTTCGGGGTCCACCACGCAACGGCTCGGCTCAGTACCAAAAACGGACGGATAGAAACTCAATGGGTAGATCGTATTCCGTGTCTCATTGAACTCTTGAGTTATCAGACATCCAAGAGATTCAGATGTTGAATTACTCTAGTAGGATAGTGCAGACAACAATAGCGATATATATATATTGTGCAACTTCAGGGTCCCGGACAATGTAGTAGTAAACAGAACATAATATAATTAATAAACTAGAGCCTTCTATATAGTAGAGTAGATAACAATGAAAGAGAGAACTATCTAATGAGATACTGGAGAAAAAACAGTGTCTATGGTCGCTGAAGCAAGAATAGTAAATGTCGAAGGGGATGATTTAGACAAACAAAGAACGGAGTGGGCCATGTTGTTGTAATTGTACCCAGCAGAAGTTGAAAGCAATATATATGCATTAGCTTAACCAAGGCCTTACGGTCGGCTTGGTCACGATGGCTCATTCAGAACGGGCACTCTTCGTCTTCTTGCTCCTGAGTTTCATCATCAGGAACACCAAGGCGTAAGATGAGATGCAGAACAGGGCAGTGATACCCGTCTAGAAATAAACAGTTAGCATCGCAGCCTACACCATATCAACAAAGGTATACTCACATCTCTCCACGAATAGTATTTCTCTTGAAGATTGAACGTTTTCGCATAATCAGAACCCTCGGAGTATTGACAGAATGAACATGTCCCAGTCGAATTCCCATCAGCTAGGTACCCAGTCTGCGCGGCGAGGAAATCGGCCATGTATTGGCCGCAGGTCTGACCAGATGGTGCGGTGAACCGCACAAACTCCGATGGTGCACACTTGACTTTGACATCCCAGATTACTTCGCCAAAAAGGCCACCAACCAAGTAGGTGAAGGGGTCCAGGTAGTAAATCCAGTATCGCCAGAATGGCTGCATTTGAGAGTATGGAACCACCACGCCACAGAAACTGACCAGACCGGCACCGATCAAGACGGGGTTCATCACTGCTGCGAAATATTCATTCGGCGCATATGCTGCAATTGCCTGACCAATGGATGTGTATAAGAGTTCATAGACTATCTTGATGTTAGATATTTGGATTAACCTTCAAGACTTGGGGTAACTTACAAATCATCTGAAGATAGACATGCCCGGAAACACTGGCCTCGATCGGAAGCCCTGCTGTAAAGTACCAGCATGCAAAGTAGAGTGTGGCGCAAATGATAAGGTATGGAAGCTCCGTCAGAGTTTGCGCTCCAATGAAGGCGCTCCAGTGATAGGTTTTGGACTACATAGAAATCATTCTTAGCGATATTTCCATGCCAGCGGAATTCGATTAGGGTATTCACCTTTTTCTCTCGGGTCTCAAATATATCACGATTGTGCAAGAAGAACGGCTGCATCTGGTTGATACAGCCGGGGGCGACGAAGATAAAGTTGAAAATCGCGAAGAGTCTCAACTGAAGGTCGAAAGTGCCGTTCCCGATCTTCCAGAAGGTAAATCCACTGAAAAGTGCCGCGAAGATATGGAGAATGATCTTGTTCCACATGTAGTCCTAGGGGAATGTCAGTTCTTTGCAATTGATTTCGTAAATAGTTGTAACGACGTACTGGTGACCGCCAGATATGAATACTGAGACGTTTAGAAACCGTCTTGAATTGAAACCAGTGCGAGGTCGCATAGTCAGCAGTATCTTCAACATAGTCGGAATCATTTTTGCTGGATTCGTTGAGTGCATCAAGTTGGGAGAGTGCTTGCTTGCGCTCTTCTGACTGACTCCAGATATCGACCCAATCCTTTTGGTCTGTAGTACCACCTCCTTGAACAATATCAATGATATGCTCTGCAGGGTTGGCATCCGGAGGGCATGGCGCTCCGTTTCGAGTGAAGTAGTCCAAGATTTTGGTCGAGTCCTTGCCAGCTATAATCATAAACCAGTTATTAGTGGTTAATCTTGATCAATTGTCCGAAGAGTAAAGACTCACTTTCTCCGAAATAGGTCATTCTTCCGCCCTTGGCTAGCAAGAGAAGACCGTCAAATGCGTCGAATAGCACCGCAGATGGTTGATGAATTGTACACTAACAAAGTTAACATTATGCAAATATAGTAATCCTTGAGAACTTACAAGCACAGCTTGGCCGCCATCGACCAGTTTGCGAAGGAAACGCACGATGTTGAATGCACTTTGCCCATCAAGACCCGAAGTAGGTTCATCCAAAAACAACAATGTAGGTTTAGCAACAAGCTCAACGCCCAGGGTCACACGTTTGCGCTGTTCAATGCTAAGTCCAGCTCCAGGCACTGTGAGTTATTAGTATTGCTGTCCAGTGGGATCGAAACAGGGCAAAAATACCTCCGATAAGTGCTTCGCTGATGTCACGCAACTCCAAGAGGTCAATGATATGTTCGACGTAGGCAATCTTTTCTTCATGTGGAACCGTCGATGGCTGACGAAGAACCGCCGAAAATTCCAATGCTTCCTTGACCGTGGCTGTCTCAAGATGCACATCCATCTGTTCGCAGTAACCAGTAGTTCGCTGGAAACTGATTCCAACCGGGCGGCCATCAATCAAGACTGATCCATAAATCTCTCCACTATCCTTGCGCTGAGCGAGCACATCCAACAATGTTGTTTTTCCGGCCCCAGAAGCCCCCATGAGGGCAACCAGGTTTCCGGGTTGGACAAATCCAAATACCTTGTTCAGCAGCTGTTTCTTCTCACCGTGGAAAGGTACATGGTAGTCAAGGTCTTTCCATGTAAAGGTGGATTGCTTGACTGAGCCCAAAACTGCAGCGGCATCTGGCTGCTTTGGAGACTGTGACTTCTCATATTCTTCCTTTCCACGAGTCTTCTCGCTGCCGCGCTTGTAAAGCAAGACAGATGATCCAGTTTGGCTGTTCCGGAGTTCAAGACCGAAAGAAGTCAGGCAAATGAAGAAAATCCAGAATCCGACGATGATACCAAAGCTTCTCCAGATGTGATGGACTGAATAACTGTATTGCTCTTGAATATATTTTGCCCCATCAATAATGCCTTTATCATCGCTTCCGAGGACTGAACATCCACGATGGGCAGATACTGAGTTGGAGTATCCGGGGCCGTATGGAATATAGTCGGGTGCTATGCATGTGAACTTTCTTCCGACGAATTCATTGGCCATGAGTGCTTCGAAGGCGTATGATCCTGGGTTGAGGTAGAAAATCCAGCGGAACCACACGTGCATCTTGTGGAATGGGATAAGATATCCTGTTGTTTGTCAGATTGGAATTCTTCGTATCAATGACTAGGTTCAAATACTCACCTCCATAGACAAAGAAGACGGTGGATAGCAAGCCGGATATTTTGGATGCATTTCCGAACTGTTTGCACACGGCGCCAACAGCTCGGAATAGTTGCACAAAACACAATGTCTGCACAATAATGATAATCCAAAAAGTGAAGAACTTTCCTGCGTTCATCTGAAGAGCAGCCATGAAATAAAGGATGATCGAGAAGCAGGTCACCTGGAACATCACAACTGGGATATCTGTGATAGCGTTGGCGATGGCAAAGGCTGTAGGTCGGTAAAATCCGAACCGCTTCTGACGAGAAAGAATTGGGCGGCCCATAAAAGATGCAGTTGTTTCAGACAGACTTTCAAGGAGGAAATATAAAACCGGGAAAAAGCAAACACCGGGGCGTAAGAATATTGAGCTCGAATCCTTGTAGTTTCAACTGTTAGCTTAGTGTCGTTACTTCGTTTCGGGTGGAGGGCTTCTTAATCACCTCTGGCAAGTTATAGAATAAACTTCCACAGACTAAAGCCTGAATTAAAGCCGACACAACCTTCACAAATAGCGATAGCTTATCGCCCCAAATAACCTGGAACTGACGGAGAGCACATGCGGCAATCTGATCCCAGAGATTCGCTGTATAAACACTGTTATTCCGAGGCAGATGTTGTTTGCGCTTTTCACTGGACACTGCCAGCTTAAGGTCTTCAGCTTCGTAGCTCAGCTTCTCGGGGTCAACGATAGAGTCCATTTGAGCTTTGCAGATGGGGCTATTTTGGTAGCAGTATTCGAAGTCCTCGGGTGTATTGGGCACCTTTTCTTCCCAACCGGGTCGGATTGTGCGTTCGGTAAGGACAGTGACTGAAGTAAGAAAGTCTGCGACATTGGCACCCTTGGGGCAGACGAATCCAATATCTTCAAAGTATTTCCTTGCAATACGACGAGGGCCATAGTAAGTGACACGACCTTCAGCGAGAACGAGGACCTTGTCGAACTGGTCATAAATACTGTTGCCGGCTTGGTACGTAGTTGTAATGATTGTCTTGTCGTTTCGGTCTGCTTCGCTTCGGAGCATCCGAGCAAATTCCACCGCTGATTTCGAGTCCAGGCCCCGAGTGGGATTATCCCACATTTGGACGGGACTTTGTCCGGCCAGGACTTCAGCAAGAGAAACGCGCTTGCGTTCACCTCCAGACACACCTCGGATATACTCGTTTCCTACCAAGTTCTTCTTCGTGTGTCCGATTCCAAGTGAACCCAGGATCTCATCACGGTGGTTCTGGACGAAGTCCTTACGGTTTCTTAGATGGTCTGGACGCTCGTTGGGAACCTTGTTTCGAAGGGCGAATTTCAATGTACGGTTGACGGTAAGGGTTGGGAAGTGAACGTCATCTGGTATCAATGTAGTTAGCATTGAGCTCCATAGATCTCAAGTTAGAATTGCATGCCTTCATTGTTGAACATGATCTGCTGACGGAACTTTTTGGCCGTCTTGTGGTCCATGCTCCCGTAGTTGGTTTCGCCGGTAACTTCATCGAAGCTATCTCGATCATTCGAGAGGACTCGAAGGAGGGAAGTGCATCCGGAGCCTGGGCGTCCAAGCACAAGAAGCTATATTGGTCAGTTATAACATTCTTATTCTTGAGTCATGAGAGCCTACCATTTCCCCAGGCTTCACCTGTCCTGCAACATCTTTGAGGATTGTCTAGAAGGTGAGTTAGTATATGATAACTGCATGTTGATGGTTGAATATGCGTACCCTTTTTGGACGGTTGCCGCGCTTCAGCAGAGCCCCAACTTGCCGCGGGTCGACCTCTGACCATAAAGTACTTCCCAAAGCAGCATCTGGTGCAGTGACTCGAACATTCAGATCACGGAAGGTGACTGTCAAACGTTTGCGAATGTGGTCGTCGCCGTTTTCCAGGTCAACCGGGGTTACTCTGCCGGACGATGGGGTTTCCATGACGGAGGCGTATATTCCTGGGACAAAAAAGAACGACTACTGATTATGGTACCAGCTTAGGTGAACTTGGAAGCAGATGCCATGGTCGGGGAGCAGCAAAACTCTTATATTGCGGACTCGTTATCGAATCTACATATTTTTAAATCCATATTGCCGTGGTGGGTCATGGCTTATAGATCATATCGCGTATGTATCGCTGTGGTGGAGTTTACCGATAAGGGAGAGGCTTCAAACAAGTAAAACAACTGCAAACAATATCCTGTTAGCGAGGATATTGCAGTGATGAGTCGCTCGGAAATATACGTACGGATATATTAGAGACCCACTCGGTCCAATGCGATCGTTCATTGGCTGGGGTCTATTTCTGTCTACCTTCCAGAGCTTCGATGAGATCCACCTGTCGGATATAGATCCACTTGCACGGATTAAGTCGGTAGACGACCCCTGGACGGAGTTAAGAGGGATACAATACGAAGATGTTGTGTAATAGATTATGCAATTGGTTAAAGCAAGACTTTCATCAAGGAAGCGGAGCATCATTCGACTGATAAATCGAAAAGAATGCGTCCAGGTCCATGGTAGAGAAATCGAAATTCCAGCCCATGTCAGACTGAGTGAAATCAAGCAAGTCATCCCCAGAGCCCGCAGAGCCTCCGGTTTCCGGTGTTTCCGGTTTTTCCATATGTGGAAGGTTCCAAGGAGATGTCAGTATGCCTGACCGCATTCCTATTGAAGGGTTTTGAGGAATCGCAGGGTTGTTGAGCTGTGATTGATGGCTGCGGTCGGGAGCGAGGCCTTGTTGTACGGGTGTCCCTCCTAAGCCCGCAAAGTTATCCCCAGTTGTTGTCATTAGAGGTGTCCATTCGTATGATGGATTAATATTGCGGAGCACAGTCTGCATGGCTGAAATTGTGCTTGTGACCGGGTCCCCGGCTCGCATGGCTGACAATACTTGCAACGAAGCGTAAACCCACGGCAGATAGAGAGGCGCAACACTCGGGTTGTGAATGAACTCGTAAATGAGAGTAAATACAGAATTGTTGAAAAAATACCCATGGTATCGCAGTTCCTATGACATTGTTAGTGGAAGCTTTGATAACAACATGTCGTCTATTTACCAGAACAAGATTATTGACTTTTGAAGCTTCACACAGGTGATGGATTATTCTTTGGGCGGCAGTGATGGCATGATTGCATGCTTCGTTGAGCCAAGAAGGCGTTTCTCGGGGGTGATTTGTGACATTGGTGGTAGGCTGGTTGAGCGCAATATTACTCTCGCGCTGCCAATGCCCGCGAAATACTAAGAATGGGCGGAATGTGAGAAGTAGGGTATGATTATATACTAGACCTGGTCAGCGTGGGGTTAGGCAATGATTTAACTGTGACTTACGGGTAATGAAGATAATTTGTCTAACCCCAAGTGATCCCGCCTGGATGCTGTCATCAAGCCCAAGACCCAAAGCTTGTTGGAAATGTGATTCATAAGAACGGATATCATTTGCAATGGATTGAGCGACTCTCCACATGTGCAGAAGAGACTCATGCCGCTGACCGTATATTTCATTAACAGACCGAGTGATGCTTTTGCAAAGCTGCACCAACAATCGAATAAATTGATCCTGCGGATACTCGATTGCGGCATCTTTAAGGGAGAGGGAGGTAGGACGTCCGACATGGAAGCAGAACCAGCTATATGTATGATGTTAGTGAGTTTATCGAAGATCGGACTCAAGTGGCAATGTACGTTTCGTAGATGTAAAGAGACCAGAAGGTTACCCGTCGTTCTTCAATGTTTTCCGGGGTCTGATCAACGTCATGTGGAACATCCTTATGCAGACCTGCTGACAATGCTTTGCGAGAAGCAGAACCCAAATGCAAGAACGTTGAGTTTGGCCGACCTTGTTCGTTCTGGTAATTGGCGTAACATCTATGTCAGTATGCATCCAACAAAGTAAGAAGATAGGTACTTATCATAAGCAATGAAATTTGGATAGTCTGAAGGTTCACTACGTCATCAAACGCGACCAATAGAGCTTTGACACGCTCGAATAACACATCGCCCCAGGCAAAATGCTCCGTGCCGAGTGAAGCGCTTGCCATGGCAAGAAGAAGGATCGCCTGGGTAAAAGCATCTAGATGATCGTCGGGCGAAGAGTTGTATAGCCGGTCCAGACATTGCTCATAATATATCTTTGGGCGAAGGGGTATCAGATGATAAAGGCTGGATAGAAATCGCGACATAAAAAGCCTAGCCAGGTCGTACGGCAGGAACATCATAGATAAATCCCCTTTCCCAGGGAACTTGTTACTCTCATGGAAATCTGGGGTTCCGAAAAAAATGCGACGGAAGCTAAACAAGTCCAAGCCAGCTCCAGCTTCCACAACCCCGCCAGAAGGTTCCGGGTGGGAGGAGCTAGGATTGGAGACGAGATCTCGGTAGATATGCTGCATGAGAGAGAAATGAGAGGTAGGGCCATAGTATAGCTGCATTCGACATGACGGCGATGCCGTATGTGTTGCAGACACACTATTTGGGAAGTTATTCATCACGGAGACTGTGCGCTGTCCCGATGGCGGGACTCCGCTCGGAGAGCCCTGACGAGGTAAATCCCTCTCGCCCACTTCCTCATGCTCATGTTTCTTTCGTCGATGGCGAATATAGTCTCTGTATAGACAGGGTGTATTGCGCAATTGGCAAGTTTTGCACCTGATGCTGATATATTAGTCCGATGAATTCATGATCCAAACGTAGACTGAGGGATCTCACGGGGTCAGGCCATTGCATTTGATTTTACGTTTGCGGCATTCCTGACACGCACGGGGGATTCGCCAACCCGGTTGGGCTTTATCCGACGCCTCAGACATGGATAAATCGTATGCAATCTCAGAGCTCCTGTCAGTGCAGTTCATCCGTTTAATCCGAGGAAATTATCCGTCTATATCCGAGTCACGTGGTAGTGTGTCATCACATCACTGGACCTCAGTCCTCTAGGGGCTCAAGCCCACGGACATTGCATCCTTTTGAGCCATCTGTAGGACTAGATTACTGCTAAATGGGGAGAAAGCAGGAGAAGAATTGTTCTTGTTGATTAAAGTAGAAATGCAGGGGGTTATATACCCTGCTAAAACCATCTAAACATTGCTCAATCTGTAGCAAACATGCATGCATGGGAGATTGTTCAACACATCCTATATATTCCACAACTGCGTACATCGGAGATCGAATCTCTTCTTATCCACTGATAAGTTGAGACGAATCGGAGAGCCATGTTAAAGACACTATTATATCACATGATTTTATGCCTGGTAAACAAGGCATCAAGGTTTTTAACAATTCAGGTTTCCACACGTCATGCGTGATTGACTACGTGCTGCGTACACTGCTGACAATAGCCTCAACTCATTACTCATTCGATGAAAATATTTTCGGGTGATGACATCTTCGGGATAACTTCCGATCGGCTGGTTTCACTTATCTCGCCAATTCTGCAACCCATGTTTCTTGGAAGACTTGGCGTTCAAGACTTGGCGTTTTGGAGAATCACGAAGCCTGACAGATTCGGTGGTTGTCGTTGGTCGTCATGACGCCCAGACATGGTCGGATGATGGTGTCGGCATTTCTTAGGCTGTACCTAGGCACCTTGTAATGCACGCAGAGATCCCCACAATCCCCACACGAGTGAGACGACCAAAGAGCCAGTCTGGGGGGAAGATCCACAAGTCTGGGGAAATCTCTAAATCCTTCTGGGGAAACCCCAAGTGCCAATCTGCATGTAGACTTTAGAGGTCCGACACCTTGGCTTATCAAGGAATTATTATGATTGGACCTGCATAATAATATTTGGCTCTCCCACTGTCAACTCCGACTACGAAGGCATTTTTGACTCTACTGCTAGTGTCATACCAAGTGCGCTTCCCTTGGCAACGGCAGATTGAGATTTTAGCTGCTGAAAAAGCCGGTTGGGGACTGAATCCGTGAATCCCCACAGCCCCAGACTTACCGTTTAGATCTTCCGATCGGGGTTCTAATTGAGCTATAAAACATCTGGTCGGGCCTGGTTTATGCTCTCGAGGTCTCCCTTGATCCGTGTTATCTGAAACCTCCAGACCGCCCCCTTATCCCATCCGAGCTCAATATACTGTCCGCCACCCCAACATGGCCGACACCGAGAGAGGCACCACGCCCATCGGTGATGAAAAGGTCATTTTAGACCATAAAGAGCATATGATGGGGGAAGTCACCCATGGAACAGCAGAAAGGGGTCAACTCGCGACAGATGAACATGGCCAGCCCCTTGTTGAATTTGACAAGGCCGCCGAGTCACGATTGCGACTCAAAATTGATCTTTATATTGTCCCAACAGTTGCAATTATGTACCTCTTTTGTTTCATCGATCGAGCCAATGTTGGTGTGTGACAAGCACCTCTTATCCTTCCCGAATTTTTATTTCTACCTCTCATACTAATCCACTTCTTTCTTGGAATAGGCAACGCGAAATTAGCCGGCTTCGACAAGGATCTTGGTCTTATTGGCTACGATTACAACGCCGTGCTCTCGATCTTCTTTGTCGCATATATTATTTTTGAAATCCCCAGTAATATCATGTGCAAATGGATTGGGCCTGGATGGTGGCTTCCGGCGATCACATTGGGATTCGGCATCTGTTCGGTTGCGACGGCTTTTGTCAATGATATGCCAAGTGCATCTGGTGTCCGCTTCCTTTTGGGGTATGTGTCCTAGACCTTGTAAATTCAACAATGCTGACGACTGTCTAGCGTGTTTGAGGCAGGACTCATGCCTGGAATTGCGTATTATCTCTCGCGTTGGTATCGACGAAGTGAACTTGCCTTCCGCCTGTCGTTGTATATCGTCATGGCTCCCCTCGCTGGAGCGTTCGGTGGCCTTCTAGCCTCGGGCATTCTCATGCTCGATCACGTCGGTTCCCTCCGCAGCTGGCGTATGATTTTCGCGATTGAAGGCATCGTCACGATTGGAATTGGTCTAATCGGATTCCTGACATTGACCGACCGACCTGAGACAGCCAGATGGCTCTCCCAGGAAGAGAAGGATCTAGCCGTTGCCCGCGTCAAATCGGAACGTGTTGGCGCCACAGAGGTCCTTGACAAGCTTGATGTAGCCAAGACACTCCGTGGTATCTTCAGCCCAGTGACACTTGTAACGGGGATAATCTTCATGTTGAACAACATTACCGTTCAGGGTCTCGGGTTCTTTGCGCCCACCATCGTCAAAACCATCTACCCCAATGCCAGCGTGGTATCTCAACAGCTGCACACTGTGCCTCCTTATATTGTCGGTGCATTTTTCACCGTGCTATTCCCCTACCTCAGTTGGCGATTCGACCATCGCCTCATCTTCTTCATTATCAGTCCACCGCTAATGATGGCTGGTAAGTCTCAACTTCTTGAGCAATCTTCAAAAATATCAGGGTTGCAGGGTATATAACTGGTTCCAGGCTAATCACGGGGATTCTAGGTTATATAATGTTCTTGGCTAGCGAAGACAGTATGGTCCGATATGGGGCCACCTTTATTATTGCCTGTGGGGCCTTCGCCTTTGGTGCCCTCTGTACTGCAAACGCATCGGCGAATGTCATCTCCGACACCGCGAGGTCTTCGGCTATCGGAACAACAGTGATGTTCGGAAATATTGGTGGCCTCATTAGCACCTGGTCATTCTTGCCTTTTGATGGGCCCAACTATCCTATTGGTAATGGGCTCAATTTGGCAACTTCAAGCACCACTCTCCTTCTTGGTGCCGGCCTGTGGGCTTATATTAAATGGGACAATCGGCGTCGTGAGCGAGTCGATGTCCACGGCGCCTTGTCGGGACTTTCCCAGCAACAAATTCAGGATCTGGACTGGCGTAATCCTGGGTTCCGCTGGCGACCATAGTCATGCTCGCTCGGCGTAGCTCGACCAATCACTTTGGTCCTGTATCTCATTTTCCGATCTCATAAACTAACTACTCCGCACCACGGTACACTAGCCTTTGGTCTCGAACATCCAATTGATTCACATTACCTTTCTAAACCTCCGATTCTCGGGGAAGACATGGGTCGTCTTAGAGCTCCATTTGCTTTATAAGCGTATAAATGTGGCATGAATGTGTATGGTTCTGACATAAACTGTGCTTTTGACATTACTCTCTAGATCTGACTATGACTATGATTCCGCTGAAATACCACATTATATAACCGTGAAAGAAGTGACTTCGAAATGTGTTCCTGATTCCAAGCGATACGCCCTACAAGGATCAGGATGATATTGCGGCAATAAACTCCGAAGAACGGACCAAACGTTCCAGAGCCGTATGAGTCTTACTTCCTAAGATCGGGGGTTGGCAAAGAATAATAATGAACTTTCTCGCCAGAAATTACAGAAGCCGGTGCCTCGCCGAGACTTAACATTGCCGGGTAATGGTCGGCACGGTCTTTTCTCCAACCAAGCACATGAGAAATAGAGCCTAAGTGATCGGCTTGTCCAAGCGCACCCCACGCCAAGCAACGTGCGTCTTTCCTTTCCAGAGAACGGAGAGTTGCATTGGTCTGGGAACCAATCAGCGTCGTTATATCAGTCATATGTGGGACCTTCTCCAGTTTTTGCCCCCGCGATAAAAAGAGAGGCTAACATCCCGAGGTCTCCCCAAGTGGTCCCCATCATCCCTGCAAGCCATATGCGGCACACACACACACAAATTATCCTTCGGACGTTGTCCGAAACTTATTGTTAAGGTTTGATGGAGGAAATGATGTCTTGGAACTTCATTTACTCCAATATTTACTACGGAGTAGGAAGTCAAGAACGGCTGAGAATGAAAGAGATGAACACAAAAAGAAAAAGTGAGATGCAGCGACCATGCAGTACTCAAGTAAGGCTGCATATTTAATTCCAAATACGTGACCATGTGGTGATTTTTGGAAACTCGGTTCATTTCCTTTCAGAATGTCCCGAAGAGACAAGGACGGTAACTTCACCGAATGAGAGTTTGGCACTCGAGATGCAAGCTATCTTGGCACTCTTCCCGGTGTCTTAGCCTTGCCCTGTCCCGGTGTACCTAGTGTATCATGTGTATGGTCTCTCACACCGATCCACAGCTCATTTTGACTACAGGGATTTCATGAATCGGTGAACAGGACTTTTCTCGGGTTGGAATTTCCGGTCCCTCGCTCGCCCCCAGAATTTTCCCCGCATGTCCTGGATTGGAATCCCATACCTATAAAGGACCACTTGCTCTGATTCCAATTTGTCCTTTTTTGTCTTCTCCTACTACCCCGGCTTTGCCTTGAACATTATTCCCCGCATTCAATTACATACTTGAGTGTTGCCCACCATGGCCGGCGGAGCAAAGAAACCAGTCAATATCTTCCGCCTTAAAGACCTGGGCGAGCCTAAGGAGGTCTTCAACTGGCGATTATGGTTTGCGGTCATCTCATTTGGCCTGATGGGCGCTGCCCGAGGTGTCGATGAGGGTTTGATCTCAGGCGCCTTCAACTCTAAAGACTTTCAACATTATATCAAGTACGACTCGTACAGCGAAGTGGAACAGACCAACATCAAAGGAAATGTTACCGCAATGGTTCAGATTGGATCTGTTGGGGGCGCTCTATTGTGAGTTTTATCTTGTTCTCTATTATATCGAATCTCATGTCGAATCTTGCGTCGTTAACCCTGTCTATTTTTCTCCAGTGCCTTCTTAGTTTGTGATCGCATCGGTCGTATCTGGGCAACTCGCCAACTTTGCATCGTATGGATCGTGGGAATTGCGATCTTCATGGGTAACAGTGGCAGCCTGGGTGCTGTCTATGCTGGTCGCTTTATTGCTGGACTCGGTGTGGGCCAGACAGTCGTCGTGGCCCCTGTATATCTTGCTGAAATTGTGAGTTTCTCGTGATCCAAGTCATATTCAAACATGAACTAACAAAAGCAAAAGGCCCCCGCTTCTATCCGTGGTCTTTGTACCTGTGTCTTCACAGGCTTTGTCTACTTGGGTATTGTGCTTGCATATTTCGCCAACTATGGTTGCGAGCTCAATCTCGGGGACAAAACTCACAACCGATGGGTATGTGTGATCCGCCCCGAACCACTTATATTACCAGTACTGACTCGGACATAGCTCGTTCCCACCAGTCTGCATATTATCTTTGCCGGCCTGATCTTCATCCTCTCCTTCCTCCAGTACGAATCACCCAGATACCTAGTCAAGCGCGGCCAGCTCGAAAAGGCCATCTCCAATCTCTCCAAAATCCGCGGCCTACCATCCGACGATGAATATGTTGTCCGCGAGATTTCCACTATTCAAACAACACACGCAGCTGAAATGGAAGCTACAATGGGATCTGGCGCGATGGGCGTGATCAAGGAAACCTTCCTGGTCCCATCGAACCTCTACAGAGTCTACCTCACATTCATGGCCCAACTTCTTTCACAGTGGTCCGGTGCCGGCAGTATCACTGTCTACGCCCCTGATTTGTTCAAGTTGCTCGGAGTCACAGGCAACAACGAGTCGCTACTGGTTACAGCCGTGTTCGGAATCGTCAAACTGATTGCCGCAATTCTCTGTGCTCTCTTCTTGGTCGACGTCATTGGACGCAAGCGCGCCCTCCTTCTTGGTATCACCCTACAAGGAATTGCCATGATCTACATCGCCGGCTTCCTGAGCTCCGTCCCCTTGATGGGCGTTGACGAGAGCTACACAGTACCAGCTGACAAGAAGGCTGCTAGCGAGGGCGCCATTGCAATGATCTACGTCTCTGGATTTGGATGGGCGCTTGGCTGGAACTCGATGCAATATCTTCTGACTGCAGAGCTCTTCCCGCTCCGCATTCGTGCTCTTTGCACTTCTATGGCTATGACTCTCCACTTTGCCAACCAATATGGCAATGCGCGCGCAGTTCCCAATATGCTTCTCCCTGTCGCAAAGGGTGGGATTGACCCCAAGGGTACATTCTGGTGCTTTGCTGCCATCACTGTTCTTGGTGGTATCTGGGTCTGGTTTAGTATTCCCGAGACGGCTGGCCGCTCGCTGGAGAGTATGGATCGGCTCTTTGCTTTGCCGTGGTACAAAATTGGTCGGTATGGTAACCAGGATGCCGATGAACGTGACCAGGTTGTTGATGACAAGATGGAGATGGCGGCGCAGACGCACGGAACTGCTCAACATCTTGAAAGGCAGGATAGAGAGGGCCACGCTTGAATGTCATTTGGTCTCTTATCTTTTTTTTTTACGACTTGAATATCTGGTTTCCATCAGCTAGATTACGAGGGGGTTTTCTTTTTAACATAATGATATTATCATGATGAATAAACCTCTTTCGAATTATAATAACCTATTCATGATCTTTTACTGCCATGGCTGAAATATATCAATAGACATGCAATCTGTTCCCGGCTTCTTTCCCCTTCCTTCAACCAAGGTGCTCCTAATTTGAAGAATTATTCGTTGCCATAGACCCATCCAAAGGAATAATCACAATTCTCGCTTTAAGCGCCATCTTGAGCGCAGCCTTATCTAGAGACGGAGACTTCTTAGGAGACCATGTCGTCCCACCACCTGCACGAATATCCTTTTTTTCAATATCATTCAAATATTCATCGGGCAAATCGACCCGGATCAAAACACCCCTAGGCCGAAAGACCGTCTCATTCCAATGCGAGATATGACGAGCAAGATGTTCACCACGATCTCCAGCCAGTGACGCGATCAGATTTCGCTGTTCTTTTCGATTTTTCGTGAGACGGGCAACGAAGATCGCAGGGATAGCTCCCAGAATGCCGACCATCACCCCGCCCACGGCCATTATGCCCAGGCCTTTTCCAACCACGATGGTCCATTGTCGACGTGAAAGCTTAGCCTCGTCGCAGATTACTTGTGTGAACTGGGCCCAGTGGTCTTCGGAGATGCCGTAATGAGATAGTTCGTCTGGATACTCGAAGCCCGATGTGCAGGCTCCGGATCTGGATGGTACTTGCAGGCCTCGGCTGAGGGCAGATGCAACGGCAAGCCCGGGTTCGTTTTGTTCTGGCAGGACGATCATGGGGTTTTCTATCTTTTCGTCGATGGAATTGTATTCCGATGATGGGGAATACGTTGGTGGAGCATCGTGTTCTTCGGGCTTGTTCATGGTTGCTGGAGTGGACTGTGTAGATACAGCTAGCATGCTCTTGATGGATGTTTGGAATTTGCTGTTGGTTTTTCCACTGGATGGATCTTTTGATATCCAATGATGTTGAGGTTTCTGATCATAAAAAATGTGGTCCTCATCGCAAATACTTATACTTCTCTTGGTCTACATCCAATCAAGCTTTTCTACTATCCACGTATGACTTGGCCAAACATCGTGGCAGTGTTGAGAGGCTTATTTCGGCACTCGGAATCATCTCAAAAGGTCTTTCAAATGATTGATGCCTTGTATAGGCCACATTATTTTGTGTTCCAGGCACTTTGGGGGGGGACCAATAGTGATTGAAGGCGTTACGAGCAGGGGGCCTTATCCTCGTACTTAATGACTGGACCCTCGACCAACTAGATTTTCAGGAATGATGAATTAGTCTAAATTGACCAATGGCATAATCATCAAACCCGAGATTAACTGTTTATGACTCTTGTACTCCGTATGTTGTATAGTTATATACTCCGAGCTCCGCATGAGTCACCGAAAAGGAAAAGGGGGACGTGCATCAGCTAAGGCTGACATCCCCCGACGGATCAACCAGGCATCTTCTTTCTCTCCCCAATTCATCGAATCATGACAACGCGATACAGAGTAGAGTGTACGTCGTCTGCGGCTCTTTTCATCTCATTGAGGATGCCTCTGCTAACATCTTTTAGATGCCCTCAAGGTACGGCTACCTCCAGAATTCGTGTCCCCTCTCTACCCCTCACTAACTCCACAGTATAGACCCATCGCCGGGATCAATTAGTAAGTACAATATCTAAAGCCTAAAAGAGTCAGCCTAACAATCTATAGATTGAATGGATCAAAGTATGTTGCCTAGTCATGTCATATTTGCAGATTCTAATCTTTGTAGGGTCTACTGGCCGTCCCCTTTGTCCTGCACTCCCAGCCCACCGCAATTTACAAGGAAAACGGTGAGGTACTGAAGACTGTCGCTGCCGACACCCACCATCGTTATGCAGAGATTATGCGTGATGTAGAGAATTTGATGTTCGATCACAGTAAGTGGCATTAATAGAAATCAAGAAAATAGGGGTATTGGTCCCTAATCGCTCTTTTGAAGTCCAACACCACGAACGCAATGCTCCTGGCAAATCGAAATTGAACCTCCTAGTTCCATCCACTGGCACATTTTTCACAAAGCTATATCTGGAAGATGCATTCAAGTATCAAGACCAACAACGATTCATCAGCCGCCGACGCTTCGTGGCCCCTTCCTTCAACGATATCAGACTGATATTGAACTCCGCCCAGGTGATAGGTCTTGTTCGCTCCAGCTACGTGAAACTAGTCACATTTGATGGAGATGTAACACTCTATGACGACGGCGCCTGTCTAACATCCGACAACCCCGTCATCCCCCGGATTCTACGACTCCTTGAACAAGACCGTAAGGTCGGCATCGTGACAGCGGCCGGATACACTGACGCCCCGAAGTATTATCAGCGTCTTCATGGTCTGCTCGATGCGATTCAAGACTCAACTACTCTCACCCCCGATCAGAAACAAGGATTGATTGTCATGGGCGGCGAGAGTAATTTCTTATTCCGCTTCGACCCGACCTCGGACGCCAGACTTGTCTACGTGCCGCGGAGTGAATGGTTGCTGGATGAGATGCAGTCCTGGAGTGATGATGATATTACCGAGCTTCTTGATATTGCCGAGTCGGCTCTGCGTGCGTGTTCAGAGAATCTCAATCTACCTGCTGCTATTCTGCGCAAGGATCGGGCGGTTGGTGTTTACCCAGTAAACGGTGTGCGAATCAGTCGTGAGCAGTTGGAAGAGACTGTTTTGGTTGTGCAGAACACGGTCCAACGTTCGGCTGTTGGGGCACGATTGCCGTTCTGTGCTTTCAATGGTGGAAATGATGTTTTTGTGGATATTGGCGACAAATCATGGGGTGTACGCGCCTGTCAGCGATACTTTGGTGGAATCGATCCAGCCAAAACATTGCATGTCGGTGATCAGTTCTTGTCAGCTGGAGCCAATGACTTTAAGGTAGGAAAATCATCTCTCCTTAGCTGCTGATCAGACTAACGTCTTTTCTAATTAGGCCCGTCTTGCATCCACCACTGCCTGGATTGCGAGCCCCGCTGAGACGGTGGAGCTACTCGATGAGCTGGAGGAAGCGGTGCACCCGTAGTCATTGAACTCTACATTTAAACCCTGGAATGATGCATCTGTCCGGGGTTTACTCTGCATTTCGGGATCAGTGCTACTACTGACATAACCCCAGTCATTTTACAGTACTGTTTTTGGACACGATAGCAAACGCCGGTAGCATTCGTACTTTATTTGAAATAATTTCAAGGTTCAAATTGATTGTTCTATCCACAACGCACTTTATGTCGTAGACCAAGGGTCTTCAAGAGAGATAGAAACTCATCAAACAAAAAAAGCATAATTCCCCAAACTCCCAGGCATAAATGTCACGTAAACCATCCTTGGTTCTGGAGGACTTATTGCATAGCATCGTACAAAGCGTAACGGACGTTCAGTACGATCGCCCTCAACATCACAAGTTAGCGGATAGTTCGCCGGCCAGTATTTGGAAGAAACATTCAAGCATATCCCGGGTGCATCATTGGCGTGGATTGCATGGTTGGTTGGGAAGAAGTTGAAGTCCTTGGGTGGGAATCCTTTCAAGGGGAGCTGGGAACCGAGGGAACGGATCGGACTGTCGAAGGATCTGGAAAGTAGAAAACAGGGATAATCGTTAATATTCGTAATGAAGTGGCTCCATAAATGATCACTGTACGGGGGAGCAGATCCTCAATGGCCAAAGAGCAAAACGAGCAGCGACGAAACGAATTGGATGGGGGTTGAACAAGCAAATGAGTAGGGTCGCAGTCGGTTTACGTACTCTCATAGCAGGACCAGGTTTCGTTGGTACTAGCGTGGGTGCGTCCAGATAGAACATTGACAACATCCTGCAGTTCAAGCCAGAACTCAGACTTGGGGCGACGGCGCGCCCAATCAGTCTCGGTAGCTTCCAGTCCAGTTTCACCACCCATGGGGGAGAATAGCACACGTGAGCCCTTGACACCAATCACAGCAGAGGAGAGAGGGTCCGTAGCGATTTCATCGCTGCTCTTGCTGGCATACCCTTCGATGTGCTCCATGCACCTGATGGCCATACGCATAGCACGGACACGATCCATTGGCGAAGGCTTTCCACCTTGTTGGAAGTGACCGGGAACAGCGGCACGAGACTCGAATCGGCCCTTTGCCTCTTCCTTGATCATGTCGGCGATCACCTGGGTAGTGTATGTGCCGGAAGCACATTCGTTACGCAGAATGATCTTACCTGCACGGTTAGCTCCTTTGTCGCGGATAAAGTTTTCACGCAGGAAGTCAATATCGCGCGAGAGCATCTTGATATCAACACCTTCCTCGGGAATGTATACTGCCACTGCACCCACGGCGAGGCCAGCCGTGGTCGCAATATATCCAGATTTTCCACCTTGGGTCTCAATGACGAACACTCGGCGGCGAGAAGAGGAAGCGGATTGACGAATCGCATCACAGAAGTCAATCAGGGTGTTGAGGCAAGTGTCACTTCCCAAGGAGTATTCAGTGCCCGGGACGTTGTTAGAAATGGTAGCTGGGAGCACGATGAGCGGGATCTTGAACGCATCATACTTCGCACGAGCTTGGCGCAGCTCGCTGACGGCTGTGAAAGCCTCGAAACCACCAACAACAAAGAGGGCGTCGAATTTGTATAGCTCAAAGCACTTGGCAGTGTTCTCCATATCGACAGATGGCAGGCTACGGTTAGTACCAATGTCTGAACCACCCTCGTTGACCCAGCTATCAGCTTCCAGCCAACTGACCTCGCGGACTGAGCTGACTGGCTGATCGTCGTGGTGACGGCACAATCCGGGGAAACCGTTATGAATGGCCAGTGGGGTGTGGCCACGGGTCAAGCAGTATGCAACGGCGGCACGGGTTGCTTGGTTCATACCACCAGCCGGGGCACCGACGTGAATAATGGCAATTCGCATTCTCTTAAAATCGGTAAGCATATGGGAAGACTGCGGAGGCTTAACAGCCCAGATGGTCTTAGGAATTAAGTGCATACCTTTCCCTCTGGGAGAATCATCTTTGGGTCGTCCTGGGTCGCGGTGGTCAAATATGCGTTATAGTACTCCTTGAATTCAGGATCACGGAGCTCCATGGCCACATCAAAGTCCTTTTTGTCAATCTTGCCCGTTACATCTTTCGTTGCTTGAACTGCTTCCATCAGAGGGGTGCGCATGATCTTGTTCTCGCGGATGGTGATAACTGGTGAAGGGGACTCGGGTGACATTTCTAGCACGGCGCGAACGGCCTCCACACCCTGCAGAGTTGACAGCCAGCGGTCATAAGCACATGCCGCACCACCTCGTTGGGTGTGGCCTAGAATGGTGACTCGAGTGTCCAATCCTAGCCGGTCTGTGAGAATATCCTTAATCTTCGAGCTCGAGACCCTGTTCAATTGGCGATCCTGGGCTCCTTCGGCGACAATAACGATCGTACGGCGCTTGCCCCGTTCGGTTCGGTTCTATCAAACGCCATCAGTTAGCAAAAGAAGGAGGTCGTTGAACAACCTTGGAGTAATACCCACCTTGGTGATCACGGAGCACATGTCATCTTCCCAACCGTCCTTAGGGGGCATCTCGGGGAGGAACATCCAATCTGCACCAGTACTGATGGCGGACATCAAGGCGAGCCATCCACAGTGGCGGCCCATCACCTCAATGACGAAACCACGCTGGTGGGAGAATGCAGTATCGAAAACGTCGTCGACGGCGTCACAAATACGGGTCAGGGACGAATAACAACCGATAGTGGCATCTGTTCCAGACATGTCATTGTCGATGGAACCTACCAGGCCCACAATGTTCAACACCTTGTAGGGTGCTACCTGCTCAGTGGACAACTCCCCGGAGGCAATGAGGTCTGCC